GTGTTGTCCGAAAGCTCTGGTTCTATTTCTGGCTGTTTACTTACGTTTACTTTTTAGCTGTTGCTTATTATTTTTGTATCTTTACTGAGATCCAGCCATTGTTTCCCACAGCATTGTTGTTTTCCAGTATTTTGCCTTTTAATCTATATATGTATATATATATATGTGTATGTATACAGTATATATGTATTAATTTTTGTTAATCAATTCTATAGATTGTATATATTTTAAAACTACCACTTTGAAAATCAGTGCAGTAGTACTGAAAGTGCCTACAGTATAATGAATAAATAAATCATCAACTACAGTGATGAATATAAATTTCAATATGGGTATTTTGTCCATAGCCTGATGTCCATAGAATCGCTACACAGTCGCTACAGCAGTTTCACTGCAATCCTAAGTCAACTTAGACAGCATTTAAAAAATGAAATTCTTCATTTCTTTACAGCATATCATCAAATTCCATCGAGCTAATAAAGGATCAAAAAAAGGATTTCCAACCACTGTCCCAGCAAGCATGACAAAATCTCTCCTATACCAAATCTTAGATGGCATTCGATATCTCCATGCAAACTGGGTACTACACAGAGATTTGGTGAGTAAAGGTTACCATCTATTCATTCAGAAGCTTGCAACTGTATGCTATGTTATATTTCATTATTAAACTATTTTTAGAGGGTTAAGGTTCATCATTTAAATTTATGATTTTTTTTTCTGCCCAGAAACCTGCAAACATTCTGGTAATGGGTGAGGGGCCTGAAAGAGGTTGTGTCAAAATTGGTAAGCAGTTGATTATTTGCCATTGAATTCATACTTAATATTTTTTTTTTATTATTAGTAAAATTAATATTTGATTTTTTTGTTGGGTTTGTATTGAGGGTACTGGAGGTGTCTTGTACCTGATTCACACAAGAAAAATGTTACACTGGATGTGTTGCTAGGCCTGAAAAACTTTTTCCCTGCTACATTGTGAGGAAGCATTTGTGTAAGATTAAGACTGGCCCCATGTAATATCCATAATTACCATAATCATTATGATTATGGTAATACCATTATCCACGTAATTACGATACTTGTGAATTTGTGAATGTAATTACTAGTGGATATTTGCCCTCGAAGACATTTGAAACATGCAATAAAATTGTATTAAATATAAGAGAAATAGACATCTGCAGACTGCAGATGCCTGTAACACTCCCAAGATATTTGTCATAGATCTATAAGCATGACTAGAGTTGTCTCCCTTTCTTATCCAACAGTAAACTGCTGCAGACTAATTGCCTAATTAATGGTCGACAAGAGACCCACTGTACCACTATGTGTTTGTTGATAGATTATATAATTACGTTGCAATCAGAGCTATTTTCTGTTTTCCAGCTGATATGGGATTTGCACGATTGTTCAATTCTCCACTTAAGCCGCTAGCTGACCTTGACCCTGTTGTGGTGACCTTTTGGTATCGAGCTCCTGAACTTCTTCTTGGAGCAAGACACTACACCAAAGCTATTGGTAACTTATTCAAAATAAAAATAATAATAGATGAAAAAATATGTTAAAATATAAAGTTATATAACATGTAAAACACAGGAGTAAACACTGGCTCTAGAAGGCAGAAGAAAGTATACACTCAAAGTAATGCAGCCATGTAAACCAAAAACACTTCCACAAAGTATAGTTGTACTTCCATAGTTAGTCTAATGTTTATATAATTATGATTTTTGGGGAATAGAATTGATATACATTAATTTTAAATCTTTCTATTCTATATTATTTTTGCAGATATCTGGGCAATAGGTTGTATATTTGCTGAGTTGTTAACATCTGAGCCGATTTTTCACTGCAGACAAGAAGACATCAAGACCAGCAATCCGTACCATCATGATCAGCTGGACAGAATCTTCAGTGTCATGGGGTTTCCACAAGGTCAGTAGTGTTCGTCAGTGGGTCCAAAAGGGTCATGTGTACAATCATTATGGTTTTTTTCCCCCAATGATACATTTCACTATCCACTTCTAGACCACTTTAGCAGATGAACATTAGGGGTGTCCACTCGTTTTTATTCCTTTGAAATCTGACATTAATGCTCTCTTTTTTTTATAATGGACGGTACCATTTGTGTTCCTGCACACTTTCAACATCCTTCTCCACACCAATATCTCAAAGGCTTCCAGCATATAGTTTTGAGAAATAAATTGTTGTCTTTAAGGTGATGACTTATTATTTTGATGCCTTCTGGGCATCCATCTTTCTCCTCCCACTCTTTCCCCTGTTGGCCAGATTCTAGTGCCACCACTGGTGAGCAAATCATGGCGCTTTCACTGGTGAGCATTCATAATTGATAATGGGATTGTAATGAATGCAGTTATGGTACCGATGATGATAATAATTATTGATTGTGATTATGTGAATGAAATAAAAAGTGTAATAAGTAAAATTAATTAATATAAAATTAAATTATAAAATCTAAATCATTTTGATTGAATCTTTACTTTTTGACCTTTTTAACATTTCTTTATGTTTAGATAAAGATTGGGAAGATATGAAGAAAATGCCAGAATACCCAACACTAGTTAAGGATTTCAGGTAATGCATTACTAATGCAACACTTCCAGTACAATGGTCTTGGTTCAATCCAGAAATACAATGTCAGAATTTCTTCACGACCAACTCTACTTCCCATGCCTTGTAATGATGGTGGGTTTGACAACAGATTATTATAGATCTGCAAGAGGCTCTACTCTTATGGTTTTGTTGGAACACAGGTCTGTGTCGAAAAATACTGCCAGGAAATAGAGGGCATCCTTCAAAAGAATGTAAAAGACATTTGTATTGAACTGTGCTGCATCTATAGAATGCTATTGTTTAAGTTTCAGGCATCCCCTATCTCGTAATAGTCATTTTTCAAAAGTCTCATTGCCTGCATACAAAATCAGGGCTGTTGGACCCTTTTGCAATTCTATACTCTTTGGCCTGACTATCAGAGCATCAAGCGTAACAGAGGATCTGCTCTTTACTTGCCAAGTTTTATAGACGTATTTATAGATGCAAATTATTACACAAGGAGTGTTTATACAGTGTACTTTCTGTTTCTTAATAGCCGTCCAACTAATAATCCTTCAAGTAGTAGTAGTAGCAGCAGTGGAAATGGTTCCAAACAGTGAGTAAACATATCACATCTTTTAATAAAACACTTGGGTGTTAAACTACAGTATATTGTTTATTGTCTATTTACTGTACGCATGAATCTGTATGGCCCAGCAGTTTCAATTTGGGCTTTCAACCAAGAGGTTTTCAGAATAATGAACACACAGCTTGTAATATGGCTAGTAATGAATTAAGGATTTTTGAAGTCAAAATCTTTAAATCAACAAAATTGAATTGATCTATCCCATTGAAAGTAGGTAACATATTATCATTTAAAATAAGCAATTCTATTCAGTATGTTTCTTTAGATACTTAAAATATTAAAATTTTATTAATTTTAGACTTACATATAACAGTGGTGGATTGGCGAAGTACATGGAGAAACATAAAGTTCAAAAAGATACTAAAGGATTCCATCTAGTAAGTAAACTTCTTTACCATATATTAGAAAAATACACTTTTATTATTAACTAAGCTTTCATAACAATAAATCTGACAAATATATACCTGTATTTTCATATATTTCTTCATAGCTTTCTAAATTATTAATTATGGATCCAGACAAGAGAATCACTTCAGAACAAGCCCTGGAGGATGCCTACTTCAAAGAAGAGCCAACTCCAACAGCAGAGTAAGTCACAGTCTTTCTAGATTCTGGGGCCTCAAAGTCCTGAAAAAACTACTACTATTATTACTTCTCACATTGTAACATTATATTTTTTAGTGTTTTTGGAGGTCAACCCATTCCATACCCAAAGAGGGACTTTCTTAATGATACTGAGGATGGTGATGATAAGTCTTCATCAGCAAGCAAGGTAAATAACTTGTAATAATAATTGATTAGCTTCGCCAATGATGCTGTCCTCCAGAGAGGCTATTATTGTATCAGCGTGCCAAGTCATTGTTAAAATTATTGTTAACATGATTTCTGAAGTTGGGGAAGCCTGCCTGGTTTTAAACTGGACAGAATGCAAGAAGGTGGTTGAGTGGTGGTGATATGGTGATGGTTGTAGCAATGATGAGCATAGTGGTGGTGGTGCTATTTTATAGAGGGCGACTCTTCCAGCATATCCTACAAGGTCGACTGATATTCAGGGGCACTCTTAAATGAAATAATGTGATGCTTATCAGTGAAGTCTCATTACAAAGCTTAGGAAGGGGAGATGGTTTTTAGTCAAGAGAAAAAACACTGAGCTCTCAGAGGATTTGAAGGCAAGCATCTTAACCTCTATGCTACATCTCCACTACAGAGTTTAAGTGTTGATTATGGTAATGGTGGTGGTTATGGTGGGAGCGGGTGGTGATGGGTTGCGATGGAGGGGATGATTGTGATAGTGGTGATGATCATGGTGGTGGCAGATTTGGTAATAATACTCTATAGGGATATTAATTAAAATAATCACCACCATCAATACTACTGTATATTAGTTATCCTCTCTACCTTTTGTTCTGTATTTACTGTAGGCTGCCAGCTCCAACAACCATGCAGCTAAGAGAATGCGTGTTTCTGGACAAACAGGCTCTTCTGGAAGTGGTATGGTACAAGGAGACTATCAAGGCCAGCAGAAGGTATTATTACTTACTTAATTATTTGAAAACCCTTTAATCAAAAAATATTAATAATAATAATAATTATTATTATTATTATTATTATTATTATTTTTAAAAAAAATAAATAAAAGTCTTAAATAGTGCATAGTAGAAGCAGAAGAATCATTTTCACTCACTGCTTCATTCTCCAGGACTTTGAAGCCCCAAAAGATAGGGGTTGCTGAATAAGCACATATAGGGGCTTTAGTGAAAAATGATACCTAGTTAGCCTATCCTACAATTTAATAAATAAATTAGATGGGAGATCAAGTTTTGCTAAATAACTAAACAAGAGGAGAGAAATATGTTGCAAAAATGTGTGTATACTATGATGTCATACAATACAGCCAGTAAAATGTTGACATTTAAGGGAAAAAAAGCTCATTTAAGGTAATAAGATATCTTACTGATTGTGGTTTTTGGTATTCTTTGTAATTTTAATATTGGTATAACACTGTTCATTCACTTTGAATATTTATTTTCCTTTTAATTATGAAGCATTTGAGTGGCTATCAGCAAGGTCGGTCTGCTCAACGCGAGCAAGTGCCCTCACAGTCCAAGACCGGCATAATGTACTCGTCCACCTCCACCCAACAACAATCAAACAGCGGAACATACCACTCACAGCAGCATCATCAACAGCAACACCACCATCAGCATAGGTATTGAAGTTATCAAGTACTAGTCTCACAATCCAGTCACTGACTAGACTTGTAATACAGTCACTCAAGAGTCGTCAATTCATATTACAGTATTGATGTATCATGTTGATCATGCTACTGGTAGAGACAAAGAGATGGACATGAATTTACAGACCATTCCTTTTACAAAAGAGTTACTAATACTATTACAGTAGTACTCTTTGCTAATATGCAGTGACTCTGAAGCCAAAAATAATGGGAGATTATTCTGTGAACAATTGTTTCAGTTTTGCCACTAATTACTTTATACTTCTGTTACCATTATTCTTTGTTGCAAAAAAATATTTGTGGATTTTTCTTGAACAGAATAATTGAACAATATAAGTTATCGTGGATAACTATTAACTGAAGTCAATAGTATGCCCTACTGCCTCGGTATTCATCCCACGGCCTGCAGGCCAACTCCGGCCCGCCAAAGACTTTGATCTGGCCCACGCGACATTGCTATAGACTGAATCATTTTCCCGTCTGATTTTCAGTCCACCTACTCTAGCACTGTTAACAAGAATCTGGGCTTTTGCCCGAGTGTAGCTCACTGTATATAGTGGCGTTGAGTATTGGCATGAAGAGAGGGAGACTGGTTGAGAATATAGGATTAAGTGAGAGGCGCTAATAATATGATGCAATTACTAACCATTGAAGGGAATTGTCAGTAGGCTCGGAGGTATGTCATTCTGTTGAAAACATTGTTTTGGAAACATATTTTTTACAGTCTGAGAGTGCCATTTCTGGCCATCTAGGAGTGTCCATTCTAAAATCTGTACTCACCTCAGCCATAACCATGGTGGGGCTGAGGTAGATGTGGGTCCTTTTTGGGGACGGCAGACTCCTTGTCAGGGAAATTCTGAGGCTGGCATTGTTTTTAACTACATGTACTTGGTAGGCCTACTTAAAGTGGTTTTTTTTTTTTCAGAAAATTTCAAGTGGTAGGGTAGGTGAACCTGGGGTGCAAGTTTTTATTTATCCTCCCACCCTCCCTATGCTACTGAATTTTCTCATTTTAACAACACAGGGCCTATCATATTTGATGATGAAACAAAAAGGGTACATTACAATAGGACAATAAAATATAATGGGTGGGGCTGATTGAACAAATTTGGAAGTACATACAGTACACAATATTATTTCGCTCCTGCCGCTGGTGTCAATAGATTCAAACTAGCAACCTGCTTAAAATTTTGAATACCCGGGCCCTACTGTATTTAACCACTAATTGTGCTGGGTAGATACCGAAACACCAGGCTAATTGTTAAATATCTTAATTGATAAGACCAGAGCTCTTGGAAAATAAACATGCATTTAGTTAGCATTAAAAATGAGCATGTTTAAAAAAAAATCTTATACTATCAAGGTGATTTGGATTAGACCTGATAAGCAAGCAAGTTTCTTGATGAAAATTGTATAATTCTACTAATACCATAATTTATATTGTATTATTATTATTACAGTATTTATTTTTAAAGGTTATTTGTACAAGGCTGTATTTATCTGATAGAATAAAATTATTCAACAAAAAGCACCATGATAGCTGAACTTCATCAACTTTTAAAATGTCACTATATAATGTGTAATTTCTTTCTTTGAATGACAAATGTAAAGTTGTGGCAACCATGGTGCTTATTGGTCTAATGCAAACATTGCAAAAGCAGGGTCGCTGAATTTGAGTATGAAGGCCTAGGGTAGTTTAAACAAAAATTGTACTAGTAATGTACAATAATACAGTAATGGAATTTAATGACTCAGTCTTAATTTGCAGGAGTGGAACGGGGTCTATAAAATAATTTTCTAGATTCATGTAAGCTCATAGAAGAGACAGCAAATGCACAAATAAATTTGGGCAAAAGTGTTTTCTGTAGTGTTTTACTTCTGTGTTCACTTAGGGAGTTACTAAAGCATTATCAGAATGAAATCAGATTTGTTTTTAATCGCAATCCAATAAATTCATACATACCAGTGGGGGCCCCAGGGGGAATTTCACAGATCGAGAGTCCTCAGCCCCTCCATGGTTGGGGCTGACGTAAGAAAATTTTTTCATTTTGGCACCACTAGGAGCTGGAAATGGCACTCTCGGACCTACATTTTGTTAAAACTTTCCCCTTTTTGCCATTTGATTGTTAATTTTGAAAATTTAAGGGGGCGTGGTCCACCTTGGCCCCCCCCCCCCCGAATCTGCCACTGCATACTCTCAAGAAAGACATATATTTGTGAAATATCCTGTGCAAATTTCCCAAGTACAAATTGTTAAACATGTCCTTTGTTTATATTAACTCTATGGGAGTTACACATCAAATGATACAAACAACATCAAGCGACAATGGGTTCCATTATATACATTTTATTCATCATGCAATTTTACTTAAATTGGTATAAACATTAGATTAGATTTATTCGGTGTAAACACCAAGGATAACCCACGAATGTCTGAAGAAGACTTATTTCCAATGCGGTCCTTCTGGTGGTGATTGGGCAGTACACCGGGAGACAATCCCCTACTCTTTTCCACAGAGTGTACTGTGTTCTTTAACGCACGTAAAATTAGAAATGCTCCTTTTGTGCTGCGCAGTAAAAGCATAGCCTTCCACGGTGTGGTTTTTCTCTGAGAACTGATAGGAGTTTGAAACCAGTCTTGCCAAATTTTTGTTATCGTATTATCAAACAATTTAATACACCAGTGATTATAATAATCACCAGTAATTATGCTGGTATTTAGCGTAAATTTCCATATTAGTGAAATATTAATTATGCCAATGAGGTATTAGCATATTCACACACGTACCAAAAACCTGTCTTCTTATTACCATCTTGTATTCTATAGAGTTTGAAACTAATCGGACTTGCCTAACTTTAGTTATTGTGTTAACTATCTTAATTTTCTTAATTGATAAAATATTAATAATGCAAATGAGCAATCAGCATATTCACAAACATACCTAAAACAATAGGCTATTGCTTTATCACCATATTGCATTGTGACAAGGTTGAAATTAATAAGACTTAACCAAACTATAGTTATTATGGTAACAGCTTAAATTACCTGATTAGCGAAATATTAATTATGCAAATAAACAATTAGCAAATTCACATATGTACCAAAAACAATAGGCTCCGTCTTCTTATTACTATCTTACATTCTGCCAAGTTTGGAAAAAATCGAACTTGCCAAACTTCCGTTATGTAGCCTACATTCCTGTACCTGATTAGCAAAATTTTAATTATGCAAATGAGCAATTAGCATATTCACACATGTATCAAAAACAATAGGCTCTGTCCTCTTATTACTATCTTAAATTCTGCCAAGTTGGAAACCAATGGGACTTACCAAGTTTAGTTATGGTAAAACTAACCTAAATTACCTGATTAGTGAAATATTAATTATGCAAATGAGCAGTTAGCATATTCGCTCATTCTGGGACATAATTACAAAAAGCACAAGGTCAAACATTAACAAATTCTTAATGTCCTAATATTGAATTAAAAAAATTTATTGATTTTATATACTGCATCTGCAAAAAAGAGTTGCATTTTGATGGAATAATATACACCTTATAATTTTATAAATGTACTGAATAGAAGGCCAAGTTAAAAATAGAAAGAAGCCATTTTAAAGTGTGGTTTGAGCAACTCTGTGTGTGCCAAACCATGGAGATAATTGGTCCTCAGTTAATTTTCCATGTTTTATGTGTAAACCATTGGTGCATAATTAAACACACACGAGCAGAATTTACTGAGTTGTTTGTACTACGAGTGTCATGGTCATGGATAAGAGATAATTAATTATTCATTTTTAAATATTCATATAACAAATAATCAACACTAACAGGGATCCCAAGCTGAAAGAAGCCACATCCGGGAGAGATGGTGAAATGAGCATCTATCTTTCACATAGTGATACCCATCGCCAGCTGACTCCCAGGGACAATTGATTATTAAAGTAGTAAAAACATGTAAATATCATGAACTTGCAGGAGAATGGTTACTTGCTGGGAGTGCGACAGGCCATTTCGATTCTTGGGACCTCGGACCATATTAATAGTTAGGGAAACAAGCTTATAGGAGTTGGCTCAGGTTGGAAGATTCTGCAGAGCCTTTGAAATCTACGCAAACTCATTTATGTTCAATATAAATTATAATAATATAATGTAATACTGTATGTATCTAATTTTTTGTTGAAAAATTCATGTTTCTTTTTTTCATCTTCCGTCTTATGTAATTTAAATTTGCTCCTTAAGATACAATGTTTTCTTGAGGAAGCCACATACCACTGGCTGTTGCATGATAGTTTCCAAATTATGACTTCCTTTAAAGTTTGAAACTTCATTTTTAACCTTGAAGAGAAAAAAATGTTTTTAATGTCAACATAAAATTCCAATCAATATTCAATATCATAGCTATGAAACATTTATTAGATTGGAAAACAGTATCAAACTCATACCTTCGTCATTAGTATCTCATAGTCATTCTTGTCTGCCGCTTGTCGAAAAACTTTGTCTATAGCTTGAATAAAAACTGAACCACTTTTCTTCTCCCTTATTGAAACGCAACCTGAAAATGAGAATGAAACCTAAATTATGAAGAACCAATAACATGGATCACCACTGTTATGTAACTGAACAATTTTGGGTTTAATCAGTGGCAGATCCAGCGATCAGAAAAAGAGGGACTTTTACGAACTGAGGGTACGTCCAGACCACGTCAGCCCCACCAGAGTTGGGCTCCCCTTTAATGCGCCCCTGTTAATTAACAAGAATACAAGTTACAAACTTATCTCATTATTAATATATGGTGGAAGTCTAAATGTTTATTGCTACCATGTAAACACAATTTTTGTTCATCCTTTGTGATATTGTATTTCTGTATATTAGCTTCTGATTTTTAGTTTAGTTTTTTTATTTCTGTTAGTACCCTTTTATAATTATTTTTATGTAGATGCGTGACAGGAATACCAGTAGTGGAGTTGCTGGGGGTCTGGGATACAGAATGTTGACATTTCCATAATGAATAATTGTATCAATTTTATTTTTGGTTTTCTTTAAGTTGTTCAATTAACAAAATAGTATGTTAATTTCAATTGTTTAAATTTTGCTTCTCCTACACAGACTTGTATAAGAACAACTCTAGTTGAAACAAGTTTTTCCGTGTTAAAATATAGCTTATTATTATTATTATAACAAGTATGTTCCCTGTAATATTGTGTGAATTGCATCAATGAATTACGCTCAAGTAGGCTAAAACCCACTCTCATTTCTAGGTTCCAAGATATGCCACTAATGACTGGACCCCATGCTGGCTCTACCTGCAGTAGTGTGATGAGTCAGTTGATGGATGAAAATGAAATAATAATATTAAAACATAAAAAATTGAAATGGGTTGGATAGTATACCGTAAGTGGTGGAATAAGCAATGTAGGTATCTTCATTACGTGGAAATACTGGATTTTCTTCTTCAATGTAAGATTGTTGTGAAGTATCCATACATACTTGTATGCCATCTCCTGTTTCTTATTAAAGCAAACAGTAATATAATGGTTAACTTGCATTTATAAAATTTAATGTTTTTGCTCGCATTCCTCTTTTATACTTATACATTTCATAAAATTTATTGGCTTACACTGGGCTTCTTCAGTGAGATACACGAAGGATAACCCATGAAAGTACGTACCAGTGGGGACCTTGTTGTTCTTAATTGGACTGAACCCTGGAGGGAGACAATCTCTTACTGTTTTCAAAAAAGTGTACAGTAATATGTTCAAATAAATATGTACATGGGCCATATGGCAAAAGGGACCAACGCTTTAAACATCTCATCTGAGACAGTGTGCTTTGAACCTTGCATTTCACCTTCCAGCTGAAACAAGGAGAACACTGATGGCAATTGAACCAAGGAGCAATGATCTCCAATGTTCAGCATGCACAGAGGGGCTCAAACCACCAACTGAGCTAATTATAATAGTAATGATTCATTTTTTAAAAAAAGTTATGTACTTCACATCTTACATCTTTTTTTTTAATACATAATTTTTATATACTTTCTACAAGTATCTCTTTTGAGATACAACTTGCTATTTTTTCAAGCCTAGTGACTGTTCACCTACAGATATCTCTGGTCGTCTCATCCATGTGCTGCTAATTGTGATTTTTTAAATTTTTTTTCATTTGAACCATAATGAGGGTGGACCATCCAGCAGAAGCTGATCATTTGGGACTGAATAAAGTTGGGACTGAATAAGGCTTGAGATAAGCCCGCCTCAACATTAAGCCCGTCTTAACTTTGCCGGGCGTTCAGACTAGCAGGATTAGCCAAGCGCGAGAATTTGCATAATAATGAACCATAACCAGGAAAATGTCTCAAAACATTGCTCGCTAAACGTACGCTCGCTCACAGCATACATAATTGAATGCTAATTGGTCATTTTGTTACCTGAAGTCATTGCAAGACCCCCGCAACGATTAAAGCCCGGCTTAGAAAAGTTAAACACAGTGGCACGCCAGGTCTAGTTACTATAGGAACACAGCCCGGCTTGAGATAAGCCACCCTGTTCTGATTAGCAGATTAATAAACCCGGTGAGTTGAGCCGGGTTTATCCACCTTGTCTGAACTAGGCCATAGACTATTTTATTTTGTATTTTATTTTGTATTAGATTCGTCCTTTATTACGTTTCTTACCAATTATCAGTAAAGCCGACTTCAGAACTGGGGTAACATATTATAAAAGTGGAACTGCATGAAATTTAAGAGGCTTTCATAATAACAATAACTCGGCCAACATTATTGCTAGCAGGTAAGCAGTGAACAAGTGTAGCCAGCGAGCTTCTAACTTGATGATAATAATTATGAATATATAATAATTAAAATACATAAATCAAACAATTCAGTTAAATATGATATTACTTACTTCCTCGACAGGCTTGTATAAAGATCAACTTTGGTTTGCCTTTCATCAGTGGACAATTCTCCTCATTAAATATCTTGAATATAGTAGGATAATCTAGAGTTTTTTTATGTTGTCCTAACAATCCATCTTTGCCTCCATGGCTCATTAGCATGACAACCAGACAACCAACAGATTGCCAACGTGCCCTCCTGCTAAATACTTTCATTTTTTTTATCATTTCCTAAATTAGAAGTAAAAAAAAAATCTGGCGAAGATAATGAGGAGTACCATATTTATTTGATTAATGCTCCAGGGGGTTTATTGTTAAGAAGGTGGGGGGGGGGGTGTGGAGTCTATTTGAGGGATTCATTTTTTTGGTGTAAAATGGATACATATAATAACGCATATAAACGACCCTTAATTTCACTGTAAATATGGAAATACAACACATAATTAGTCAAAATGTGTAACTGTGTTATATGATAAAGATTTATTGATCCCAACCAGGTTAGAAAAAATGTAATTTTACTGGAGTAGAAAGAACATTAATAGAATGTGTTGAGAATGATGTTGCTTCCATTAGATTTATTTACAGTTATTTAGGGGAAGGGAGGGGGGTGTTTATTCCAAATGAGGCTCTAGAGGAGGAAGTTTATTCAAATAAATATGGTAATATTGATTAGGCCCTGTCCAGACTATCAAATTTAAAAATAAAAAACTGTTGTATGCCCATATATAGTCATGATGTGCCTATATATGGTCATGATGTGATGTCATCATGACCATATTTAGGCATGTCACAAGTTTTTGTCAAATAAAATTTATAGTCTGGACAGAGCTTTAGACATCAATCATTATGTCATCATTTTCATTTCCACATAAACACTAGGGCGGATCCAAAGATGTCCCAAAGGAGGGTCGACTGAGAGACAACACTACCCTAGTGGGGTCTGGGGCATTCCCCTGGGAAATCTTTGCTTTGAGGCGTTTTGGCGTATCAATAAATTGTTTTTCTTTCTTTTTTTGTTCTTTTTTTCCTGTCAAAAAGGGTAAATCTGCCCCTGCCTTAGTAAACACCTAATGGATAGAATGTATAGAGTACTACACTGTTGCGTCACGATACCATGTGATACTACTCCGTTGCTATCAGCGACAAAAATGCGTTCAACGGGATCCATTTTCCCCACTGACAAACCATTGATCCCAATTCCTAACGTAATTATTAAGATGTTGTATCTTAATTCTTCTTTGTAAATTTTAATGATGATTAAATGTGTGTTCAATAAATAATATAATGCAAGCTTTTGTGTTTTAGTACATTTTGATTGTAAATTATTAGGTTTTGAAATGCCTATTCCAGAAAGTCTATTCCAAACCATTTAGATTATGAAGTCATTCAGGCATAATGGATGGTAACCAATGTCTGGTTGACAACAAAGGGCACCACCTGGTGTTGTGATGACACGACTGTTGTACTCTATACTGTAAGTATCTTTGTGACTCAAGTGCAAAAGTTTAAAGATATTGTTTACACCAACTTTGAGCTTTACCACCCGAAACAGCAAACAAACAACAATACAATACTCACTTTATAAGTCAATCATCGTACTAATAGCGCTCTACACAACTAAGACTCAAAGTGCTTCTCCACATTAATACCACAGATATTGGAAATATACCAATAGAGGGAGTAATCCATGGGGCTACTGTAGTTTGCCACAATATTACATGTATACAATAAGCCATTTCGTAGTCTGATCTGTCCATGCTTGTATCCAAGGTCAATCGACATAACCAAATTTAATTTATTTTTATTTATTTTATTCAGGTATAAAAGAATACAATACGTAGCCACAGGCTAAAATTATTGCATTTACAAAAATATAAATTTAAAAAATTATGAAATTGTACAGAAACAATAATATATGTATTTACAAATCAAAAAAGAATATTTCCAAATTACATCAAAATTTACAGATGTATTGTCCCAGGCTAAATACCAAAAAAATTATAAAAATATTTTTTGAAATTAACTTGCCTATTTTGAAGTAACATAAAAGTTATCAACTTGAACATAGAAATTAGTGTATTTAAAAAATGTCTACCCATCAGTTTACAGCGAAAAATGATAGAAACACTTCCTGGAAGTGTTATATTATTTTTATTATAATTGTTTGGTTTAAAAATCAATGAGCAAGTTTATTTCAAAATTATTTTTTATGATTTTTTGACATTAGCAAGGGACAATACATCTTTAAATTCAAAAAAAAAAAGCTCATTCTGTAACAACCAAAAATTTGGCACTCGGGCCCCGCAAGCCAATAGGGCATTGGTCCCAAGAAGACAGGCAACGAACTGGAGATATGTCAGATAGCATAAGTCTGAGTTGACTGTGGAGGAGTTTGTTTAGGACCGAGTTAAACGTTACCTGAGCAGTAAACCATCGCTTTAAAAATATTAAAAGAATGCATTAAATTACCTCAGTACTTAAATCTGTGTGAGTGAAAGGCAAGAAGCCAAACTCGATCCACATTTCCTTCATGCATGCAACGTCTCTTGTTGAGCCACACCTGTCTTCTGAATGGTTGTTTATTATTAATACCATACCTTTGATTTCAGATGACATATCATATTGGCGGTCCTGTTGGAGAACAGTAATGCCATTGAATAAACCATTCAGTAGAAAGAAAAACTAAAACAAAATAATCTTTATTGTTTTTTTAAAAATGATGGAAGCAATCATTTTCAATGCCAAAAATACTAAGAAATATAACATTAAAATTAGAATGCTGTAATTGTAAGGTGAAAACTATTAACTTATTCAAAAATACTGTATATGAATTGTAAATGCTAAAAAGAATATGAAAACAGGGTGGAGAGATGACACAAATACCAGGCACACTATGGTGCAATAGTATATCTGAGTGCAATGGAAAGAATATTGTTAAAATTCACCTTGTTGGATAGAACATTCCATCTTCAATTAATGAAAATATTATTTCTATTGCACATACAAAACTTCCATTACTTGTTTTATTATATACCTAAAATTCATCATTGTCATTTGATATTTTATGAAAAAATAAATCAAAATATATCTAGGCATCTATGGCTATTCAAACAGAGTGTTACAAAGTTTAAATGGGACCACCTTTCTCACCCATGATTGACCTATTGGAAGAAATGCCTGTCAGCAAGCAATGGAACAAAGATGACAGCATGGTAAAAAAAGATTCTTTTACCATTAATTATATAAATACAGTCAGTGTCATGTGATATTAAATCCGCCAATCAAATGACAAAGATATATTTAAAAAGGCAAAAGATGGAAAAGCAGGAGAGCAGAAATAATATTAATTAAATAATAATAATAATAATAGTAATTAATAATAATAATTTTTTTTATACAGTACCTCTGCCATCTTTAATATCTTGCAGTCAATTAACCATAAGTATCCAAGTAGAAAATAGATCAATCCAAATTTAGGCTTAGTGCACTTACTAGGGACTTAAAACAATGCATTTTAATTTGCAGGCAAATAATACATGCAGACATTAAAAATTTAAATAAAAATGTATAAAAGACATTAAAAAAAACAAATTCACAATTGAAGTTTATTAACACTAAATACACACAATATTATGCAGTAATTACGATTCCGCGCACCTACTGTACTTTCCAAGCGATTTTATTTTCCACGCAAATTTGAGCTGGTTTGACTAGGAAAAATTGGTGCGCAGAATCGTAACTACTGCAAAATACATTGTTTATAAATTAAGATTAGGTCAAAAGCCTATTTTTCGCCAAAATCTGCGCGGAAATCGGCCCTTATTTTGCGAAATGCGCGGACGGATTTCTAGGCCAAATTTTTGCCTTGGGGCTAGCTAAAAAGGGCCATCCTACTAGTAGTGCAACCCAAATCATCCAGCAAATTAGAGCAGACTAAGCTAGTCGCCCTAGGTCCTACCTGCTTGGCAGGAATCGCCTGGTGTTAACCGACACTACAACCGGTCATCGTTTATTACTGATCATGTATAACATTCTCTTATTCATTCAAAAATGGCTTATGTAGGCCTAGACGTTAACATTGCGATATTCCCCCAAACAAATTCTGAAGTTTTGACTTACACTGACATGTTTATTAAGTACGAACTTCCTTCTCTATGTAAGTTGGAAATAACGTCACAATATTATGCTATAAATAGTCTTTGGTTGACACTTCTCGCCACAGTCGTTCGAAACGCGTTTCCAAAATTCGATATTATCAGTGGCCTACTCATGTATACAGAACAATAACGTCTCAATACAAAGTAAACAATCGATTTGTTTAATTTAAGCTCAACAGGATAGTGTGGCGGATTCGGCCAAGCAGTCTCAGTCTAGTCTAAGTCCTGCGTAAGTAAGTCTGTCGGACACGCCGTCAGGTAATACGGATCGACTATTGAATAAACTTTAAACAAAATGAACGGAGTTTCTCATAGCATTTATTGGGTCAATAAAACTGGTACCATTATCAACAACAAATACAATGTCATATATGCGGAGCACACAGCAGCCGCCGACCGGTTCCCGTTAACACCGGAATTAAACTATAAGTAGGCCTGTCCCT